CATGCCATAATTAACCACTTCATGTGCAGAATCTCATTTGAAAATAGTACTTACTGGTACTTTGATTTAAGGTAGAGAAACATGGATTAAAAATTACTTGAAAGATTATTCTTAGTATTATTTTATTGGTTCTGCTTTCAGTTTCTGTTCAGTACAGGGGGGGGACAATTGAAAACTGGTGGTTGAGACTAGGAGTAAAGGGTGACTGCAACTGCTTAATAGAGGTGACAGCTTGCTAAAGCTAAAAATTACAGTGATGAACAAGAAACAAATTCAGGACTTTAACAACTGACTGTGTAATACAGGGTGACTGCTTAATACATTGCTGCTAGTACAGGTTGGACTGTAGTTTGGTTGCCCCTAAAGTGACATCAGAGAACTGCTTTTTGAGTTAACCAATCAAGCAAAGATGCATGACTAGCTATGTACTTGATGTTTCCACCAGGTGTTCCTCTGTCAGAGATAAAATCCAAGCAAAGCATGCAGATAAGAGTTCTGAATGAGGAGGAAATTGAGAAGATGCAGGTGGCATGCAGGGTAAGATTTATTCTTTACCTGTTGGTGTAGGGTTTGTACATGTAGTATGAGGTTGTTATATACTTTGTCTTTGGGAGGGTTGGTTGGTTCTTTTTTTTTTTTTTTTTTTTTTTTTTTTTTTTTTTTTTTTTTTTTTTTTTTTTTTTTTAACATGTAGAAACTTAGCATACCTAAAGGAAATTGAGAAATGACATGACTTTGTGTAATTACTCTCACCTGTAACAAGCTGTGGGGTAAATTATTTGAAAGTTATTATAAACTTGTGTTAAGAAATTCTACAACTGAAAGTATTGTATTTTACTTCTGCAGTTGGCAAGGGAAGTGTTGGATACAGCAGCAAGGCATATTAAAGTTGGTATCACAACAGATGAATTGGACAGGATAGTACATGAGGTACAGAATATAAATAAATACACAGTTTGTCTTGATTATAAGTTCTTTTGAAGCAAACCATTAGCATTGTGCCAGCATGTCTGAAAGTGTGTTCATTAATGTTTCTCACAAATTCT